AGTGCTTTCGAATAGAAAGAAAACCTATGAAAGACACACAAGGCAATAATGAATCTAGTTAGTCATCTGTATATAGATATCTTATCTTAACATGTAAAGCTTAGAGGAAAGACAAGACAGGGGATATGGTAGAAACATTTAAATACATAAAGGGAATCAACACAGTAAAAGAGAAGACATTGTTTAAAAGAAGAAAAAACTACCACTTCAAAAGTATGTAGCCTTGAATTAGAGGGACAAAGGTTTAAAAATAACATCAGGAAGTATTACTTTACTGAGAGGGTAGTGGATGCATGGAATAGCCTTCCAGCTGAAGTGGTAGAAGTTAACACAGTGGAGGCGTTTAAGCATGCGTGGGATAGGCATAAGGCTATCCTAACTATAAGATAAGGCCAGGGACTAATGAAAGTATTTAGAAAATTGGGCAGACTAAATGGGCCGAATGGTTCTTATCACATTCTATGTTTCTATATTATGTAGCAGTAAAGGAAGTAAGGAAATTGATTACAGATTACAACTAACTATAAAACAAAGTAATGTGCATTTTATATACCAGAGCTCCACTGTAATACATCTCACTATAATATTATGTAATGTTTGTGTTGTCTGTGTATGTGATAGGTTTGATGACTGTGTGTGATATGTATGCTATGTGTTCGCTGTGTGTGATATTTGTAATGGGTGTATTAACTGTGTGTGTTACTAGTGTATTGGTTGTATGTGATATTTGTGCTGGGTTTATTGGCTGTGTGTGATGGGTATTTAATTCAGATAAAAATATGCATTTAAGCCCATGTGTGAATGCAGGTTTATATTTTTGCAGAGTTATGAACACAGTCCCACAGTCAGATGCACACAGTTATACGTATACACTGTCAAATCCACCACATACACACAGTCACAGGTAAATAGTCACATACACAGGATCAGGCAGAAACACACAGGTACAGACAGTAACACACATACACAGTTACAGGCAGATAAAAACACTCACACACAATTACACAGCCACACATACAGTCTTACACACACATACTTACATGCAGATATTCACACACATACACACACGCAGACAGCCACGCACACACACACAGGCAGACTGCCACACACACAGACAGCCACACACATATGCACAGGCAGACACACACAAACACAGGCAGACAGCCACACATACACAGAGGCAGACAGCCATACACACACACACACACAGGAAGACATCCACAATCACAGAGGCAGGCAGTCACACACACAGAGGCAGAGAGCCACACAAACACACAAAAGCAGACAGTGACACACAGGCAGTCACACAAACACACAGGCAGACAGTCACAGACAGGTAGACAGTCACACACACACACACACAGGCAGACAGTCACACACACAGGCAGACAATCACACACATACAGGCTGACACACACACAGGCAAACAGTCACACACACAGGCAGACAGTCATACACACAGACACACACACATACAGGCAGACAGTCAAACACACAGAGAGACAGCCACACACACACACACACACACACACAGGTAGACAAACACACATAGTTACCTCTGTTCATTATGGAGGAGTGGAGGCAGTGCAGCTCCTGGAGACTGGTTGTTGTGGATGCAAGGACTCCTTCATACTTCCCCTGCAGCAGTTACCTGGCACTTTTAGCTCCCCCTCCGCCGCACAGAAAGCTTTTTTTAGAATCCTGGCCGTACATGTGTGAGCTGTGTGGGCCACATGGCACCCCGTGCTCCCTTGGCGCCCTGTGCGGCTGCACAGCTCGCACACCCCTAAGGCCGGCCCTGCTCGTGTGCATCTGTATGTAGTCAGTCGTGCCAACGTCAGAATGGCATGACTCTAAGCGCTGATATGGTTGCTGTGAATGAACACAGGAAAGTCACGAATTCGGCATTCAAACTAATTTGGGTATTTAGGCGATCTAAAATGACATCAACCAATAGTGTAAGTGTTTTGGCTATTTAAAGTCAGAGCTTGATGGAGCAGGTTGCCCTGTTGTGGTCCTTGTTATATAAATTGTTAAATATCCTTTGCCAGGTGCCGTATTCTCAAGGCAACAAATATTCATCCCTTTTCTCTATTGTTTGTGGTTATTTGACAATATTTAGAAGGGTTGTAAACCCTGTCTCAGTCATACTACTAGCAGTGCTACCACCACCACCCTTCTCTTTTTGTTTCTCAGATTTTGGACATTCACTGAGGGAGAGCAGAAAATAAACTCCTGATGTAATTACCAGGAAAAAGAATCTATAAACTAGAACTTTGGAACGTTTCGATAAAACAAAAATCTCCAAATGCAAGAACGTTCTCCTATGAAATAAAAGGAGGCAAAAGACTTGTGTTGTCACTTTATTGTGGGCCTAAGAGAGAGAGTCGGTGTAAATACAGCTTACTGCAGTAAATAAGTGAATTACAAAGCAGTATTTTTCAAATGGTGTGCCGAAGTCTTTATCATAAATCTTAACTCACCAAAATGTGATAAGAATCTCCTCACTACCACAAACACGTTTTATGTGTAACAAAAGGGACTGTTAACAAATAACGAATTACTCAATTAATTTATTTATTTTTAAATGTATACATTTTTATTGAGATTTTCTTTTTCAGTTTGGATGGTATTCCATGACAATAGCAATCAATATCACAAACATAAAAGAAAACATTAAGTATAACATAAAATGTCCAAAGTACAGTCAGTAAATTATACATCACATCAAACATAATATAGGTCTGAGAGGTCATTGACGTCATGTAAGTACTGTATGTGTGATTCGGGAAGACTGTGTCATGTAGAGAGAAGATATGTAGGTATCAATGGGATGTAGGAAATGAGAAGTGAAAAGGCTAAGTGAGAAAGAAATAAAGAAAAATTAGGAAATGAGGGGAAAATACTCCTCTACCAAGAGAGGAGGCTAGTTCCATCAAAACCAGTACCCCTTTAAGAGCAGTACAAATGTAAAACTGCAGAAAAACTATATCACAGAAAAATAATAAAGTTTTATTAAAGATTAAAAACTTACAAAAAACGTATCAAAACCTATCTATATACCTACACTGAACTGCTTAGCTTTAAACTATATAGAGCTAATTGTAGAACAAATGGAGCTAATGTGCTCATACAAGGTGCAACATAGTTACAATAAATGTAATGAAGTATCCAATACTAGTGAAGAGTGGTATATTGAAAAAATGTTGCAATAAGTATGGCAAAGCAACAATAGATCCCAAATTATATATATGTAGCAGTCACAGCATAGCATCAGCTATTATATTTTATGGGCCCCCATTAGTCACGTGAAATTAAATTATATTATATGTAAATGGGGGAACAATATTCCCTCTATATCTACTAGTGGTAATAATCAAAATCCTACAGAATCCAATCGAGCTGACTAAATAACTAAAATCTAATTGTAGAATAATTAATCAGAGCTCAAAAGGATAGGTAAATCGAAAGGACAGGAAGATAAAGGTAATTGAAATAAAGTAGGAAGTAGTTTAGAGAGAATATATGTGCACAGTACTACTAATAAAAGAGAGGACTCGGCCGGCAAAAGAGTCCCTCAATAGAAAGCAACATGCAGAAGATCTAGCTGGTACTAAGACAGTATGTAGGGACAGCAAAACCCACAACCCGACGCGCGTTTCAGCGATAAATCACCTTTTTCAAGGGCACAAGCAAACGTTTATTCTACAATTAGATTTTAGTTATTCAGTCAGCTCGATTGGATTCTGTAGGATTTTTATTACTACCACTAGTAGAGATAGAGGGAATATTGTTCCCCCATTTACATATAATATAATTTAATTTCACTTGACTCATGGGGGCCCAATAAAATATAATAGCTGATGCTATGCTGTGACTACTACATATATAATTTGGGATCTATTGTTGCTTTGCCATCCTTATTGCAACATTTTTTTCAATATACCACTCTTCACCAGTATTGGATACTTCATTACATTTATTGTAACTATGTTGCACCTTGTATGAGCACATTAGCTCCATTTGTTCTACAATTAGCTCTATATAGTTTAAAGCTAAGCAGTTCAGTGTAGGTATATAGATAGGTTTTGATACGTTTTTTGTAAGTTTTTAATCTTTAATAAAACTTTATTATTTTTCTGTGATATAGTTTTTCTGCAGTTTTACATTTGTACTGCTCTTAAAGGGGTACTGGTTTTGATGGAACTAGCCCCCTCTCTTGGTAGAGGAGTATTTTTCCCTAATTTCCTCATTTTTCTTTATTTCTTGTATACTCTAGGGTTAGGCCCTTTAGTACCCCTGTAACCCTTTCCTGTACTTCTTTGCCGGGTTGTTTCCTGGTTAAGAGTGCTGTGCATAAATTAAGTGAGAAAGAGCAGAAGTAAGGGATATGAAATGAAGGGGAGGAAGAATAATGAAGGGTTTGTCCCCGGCAGCACTAATGAGTCCTAATGGGCATTCTGGTACACGGTATTGTCTTGAATTTGGATAGAGTGTCAGTGAGTTTATGGGTCATCTCTTTATATTGCTGTCTGTTTCAGGGAGGTCACTAGTGAGTAAGTCAGTGGTTGCAGGTTTGTTTTCCAATGTCCATCAATGTTTGTTCTCGTGGCTGTGAGAACATGTAATCTTCAGTAGCAGGGGGAACATGTTCAGGAGAAATTGTCCAGGTTGTAGTGGTATTATGGAACTTAGTAGTGTTGTAAATCACAGATTATATGGCTGTCCAGTAGGCTTTATTAAGAGAAAAGTCTCCGAAAATGCGAAAAAAGGTGCTGAGTTGAGGTCAGAACTTGTAGGGTAACTATGCGCCAGTCTCGTGGCCACCTCATTATCAATTTTCAGTTGGATTCCCAATGTGTTATGCATTTTGAGGTGCCGTGCATGTTGCATGTTGCTTTCAGCCATACAGGCAACAGGAAGGTGTTCCTCAATCTTGATTCTCATTGATGGAATGCCTTGATATTTTACTGATGTTTATGAAGAGGTTTTTTATTTTCTCATTCAATTTGAGACAGGTCGTTTACACATTTCCATTTCCGCAGTAGACCTGCACTGCGCTCTGATGGCAGGGAGGAGTGGGTGGAAGCTGCAGCTTTGCTATCTGTGCTGCTTTCACTGCTAGAATATTGAAGTCCATGGACTTGATATATGATGACATCTGAGGTCTCGGGTGTGTTCACCTTCAATTTCTTTGGTTTTCTGTGGAAGCAGCAGCACAGGGCTCGTAACACCCGTCTCATGCAGGATCCCCTCTTTTTCTTTTTTTTCTCCTCCTCTTCTTTGTCGCCTTCATCAAATTCACTCAGGATTTCGATTTCGTTTTCATCCGATGTATCCTTCCCGCACTGAGCTGGTGTTTCCTGGGTGTCAGGTACTATATCCTCCGCAACTACTTCACAGTTCCCTTCTGCTTCGCTTGACTCTTCCAGTAAAGGTCCATCTTGAGCATGCTAGCCACGAAAGGAAAAGAAAACCATCAGAATGTATTCATTGAAGGCGTCAATTGGGCATTGCTATTCATTAACTTTGATCCATTAGGTGTGTGTGTGTGTGTATTTATGTGTGTATGTATAAATATGTGTGTGTGTATGTATGTATGTATGTATGTATGTGTTTGTGTGTATATATATATTTATATATCAATTTCTCTGTAAAGAGTGGAATAAAATAGAAAGCAGACAGGATATAACTCAGCAATGCTGTGCTATGTGACATGAGGTTAGAGTGAGTCTTGCAGGGTTACACAACCATCTCCCATAATGCTCTTAAAGCCATAATTCTGGCAAAGCATCAGGGGAGATGTAGTTCAGATCATCTGGACTGCCAAAGTTTGCCACCCACTGGTTTATAGTGTATCACAGTGACACACATGGGAAGGTGATAAATCACACACCCCAAGTACTACAATTATCAAACTGTAAGCAGAATAAGCAATTTGTTCTAAATACGTAATTTATCCTTAGAACCATAGCATTAAATAAAGTTCTAAGAATTTCCTTTCGGTAATGTAGAGAGTATTCTCATCTTTCTTTCCCGTGTATAAGAAAGTTCAGAGATATTTCTCTAGTAAAGTCTCTACCTCTAGTCAATATCTAGTGACCCAAAACTTTTAGGACTAACCTGCCATATTGCATACATCCTTACCTGGTCTTGGATCTCGATCTGTGCTGATGGGGAACTCTCACATGCTCCCAGGGGCTCAGCCTCAGTTTCGCTCAATATTTCCTTTGCTAAGCCCATTTCGTTTGCAAGTGCGATAGAATTTGCATGCTACAAGTCAAAAGAAAAACCAAATCAGAATTTATTCATTAATGTATCCCTTGGACATTGTCATGTATCAACTTTCATAGTAATATGTGTGACACTATGAATGATATTTTATACACAGAGATATAAAATAAAAACAGCACAAATAATTGTGACTGGGCCCTGGAATTCCTCCGATCAAGAAAGAAGATGCAAAAAAAAAAGCAACACACAAATACACACTTATAGTGTACACAAACCCGACACACAAACACCCCTTGCTTTTCCATATAAACACTGACACATCTTTCCCTACATTGACATTTATGGGCACCTCACACTGATACACCCCTGAATTCACAGCACACTGATTATAAACACAACCCATTCATAAAATGTACATTTTGCACTCAGTTTTATGAATAGGGAACAAGTCAGTGGTACAAAGTCCAAGGCCTCCGGATCTAATGCAGAATCGGTTGAAGGCGCTGTGCAGAGCAGACAGGGTTAAACCCTTCATGGACGGTTTAACCCTTTATCATAGGGAGGCACGTAGGACTCCCTGGCACCATAACAACTTCAGTTGATGAAGTTGTTATGGTACCCAGAGTATCCCTTTAAGGTTACATGCAATCATCCAATTAAACACACAGTCAGACTCATCCTATCATCTCACTCAGATACATTGTTTAGGGAAGACTGAGATTCTTTGATTCTTGCACCCAGTTACACCCATGGAAGCACTCACAAGTTCCAGAAGTCTCTCGTTGCGATCATTCTTTTTTTCCTTTTCTTTCTTCCCAGAATCTTCTTCTATCAGCTGTTCCTTCTTGTCCTCTTCATTTGGTGACTCTGTCTCCATTTCTGGAGGCTCGGGACACACCTCCTGTTGTATGATAGCATAAAGAGAGAAAATAAATCCAGGAATTTGCTGCTCTGCGTCAATACAAATTAAATTGACATTTTTCTTATGAATACCAAGAGTGTATTTAGTAAAATAGAATATCATACCTTTACCTGTTCTATGGCTGTGTTCACGTTATAATTAGAGTTATGAATAATGATGATCCCCATCCCACAAGCTGGAGAAACCATTACATCTTCAGCTGCACATTGCTGTCTACTGGACACCCCTAACAATTCCCCTCCGGTTTTTAATGGGATCATAAGGAGGACTATCGCTATACTCACCTGTTTTTTGAGGAATAAAATAGAAAGCACACAGGATATAAACAAGTCAACACAATGGGCTATGCTGTGCCATGCTGTGCTATGTGCTATGAGGTTACAGTGAGTATAGCAAGGTTACACAACCATCTCCCAAAATGCTCTGACAGCCATTATTCTGGCAAACCATCAGGGGAGATGTAGTTCAGAACATCTGGACTGCCAAAGTTTGCCTCCCACTGGTGTATGGTGTATCACAGTTACACACATCGGAAGGTGATAAATCACACACCCCAAGTACTACAATTATCAAACTGTAAGCAGAATAAGCAATGTGTTCTAAATAAGTTATTTATCCCTAGAACCATAGCTTTAAATATAGTTCTAAGATCTTCCCTTCGGTAATGTAGAGGGTATTGTTATCTTTCTTTCCCGTGTATAGCAAAGTTCGGAGAGGTAAAGTCTCTACCTCTAGTCAATATCTAGTGACCCAAAACCTTAAGGACTAATCTGCCATATTGCGTACATCCTTACCTGGTCTTGGATCTCGATCTGTGCTGATGGGGAACTCTCACATGCTCCCAGGGGCTCAGCCTCAGTTTGGCTCGATATTTCCTTTGCTAAGCCCATTTTGTTTGCAAGTGCGATAGCATTTGCATACTACAAATCAAAAGAAAAACAAAATCGGAATTTATTCATTAATGTATCCCTTGGACAATGTCATGTATCAACTTTCATAGTAATATTTGTGACACTATGAATGATATTTTATACACAGAGATACAAAATAAAAACAGCACAAATAATTGCGACTGGGCCTTGGAATTCCTCCGCTCAAGAAAGAAAATACAAAAAAAGCAACACACAAATACACACTAATATTGTACACAAACCCGACACACAAACACACCTTGCTTTTCCATATACACATTGACACTCTTTCCAGATATAACCTACATTGACATTTATGGGCACTTCACACTGATACACCCCTGAATTCACAGCACACTGATTATAAACACAACCCATTCATAAAATGTTCATTTTGCACTCAGTTTTATGAATAGGGAACAAGTCAGTGGTACCAAGTCCGAGGCCTTTGGATTTAATGCAGAATCGGTTGAAGGCGCTGTGCAGAGCAGACAGGGTTAAACCCTTCATAGACAGTTTAACCCTTTATCATAGGGAGGCACATAGGACTTCCTGGCACCATAACAACTTCAGTTGATGAAGTTGTTATGGTACCCAGAGTATCCCTTTAAGGTTACATGCAATCATCCAATTAAACACACAGTCAGACTCATCCCATCATTTCACTCAGATGCATTGCTGAGGGAAGACTGAGATTCTTTGATTCTTGCACCCAGTTACACCTATGGAAGCACTCACAAGTTCCAGAAGTCTCTCGTTGCGTTCATTCTTTTTCTTCTCTTCTTCCTTCCCAGAATCTTCTTCTATCAGCTGTTCCTTCTTGTCCTCTTCATTCGGTGACTCTGTCTCCATTTCTGGAGGCTCAGGACACACCTCCTGTTGTATGATAGCATAAGGAGAGAAAATAAATCCCGTAATTTGCTGCTCTGCGTTAACACAAATTAAATTGACATTTTTCTTATGAATACCAAGAGTTTATTTAGTAAAATAGAATATCATACCTTTACCTGTTCTATGTCTGTGTTCACGTTATAATTAGAGTTATGAATAATGATCCCCATCCCACAAGCTGGAGAAACCATTATATCTTCAGCTGCACATTGCTGTCTACTGGACACCCCTAACAGTTCCCCTCCAGTTTTTAGTGGGATCCTAAGGAGGACTATCGCTATACTCACCTGTTCTTCGTTGATCTTCATGGCCTGGAAGCAAGGATTTACACTGGGAAAAGAGAGACAAAAAGAGTGAGATTAAATTATATAAAAAGGAAGAATGTCACTGAAAACAAGGAAGTGATAAACATTTTGAAGAAATTAACGAGTAAAAAATTATGGAAAAATGAAAACAAATGATGAGTAATAGACAAAAAAGTAATAAAATAATTGAATAAACAGGGAATTATATGAGCAAGAAAACACAAATGACGACTCGTTAAATAAAACGTTCCTTCCCAGACCTGAATGAAACATAATTTTAGCTGCTGTTAAAGTTAAAAAATACTCTCTTAATATATAGGAAAACTCCAAGCACCCTAACTGATCAGTGCACTGCAGTGGTTATTGTACTTGGCTTGCCCTGACACCCCTCAATGTAAGTGATCAAACCTTTTTAGGACAGTTTGACTTCACTGCTTCCTGCCTCCACTACACCCTTCACAGAGCAGGAAGCTCTCTCTCTTTCTCTCTGAGCTAAACGTTTCCCTCTCATTGCTGCAGAGTAGGTGGTCAGCTGTTTGACTTATTATAGTAGAGGAGGAGCCAGAACAGTATGCCTAAAGGGTTCCGTGAACCATCACAAGAGGCAGCAAAAATCTAGAGTGCTGGAGGTTACTCATACAATTTATATAATTCTACATATTCTAGTAGATACGAATGAATACGATTGATCCTCCTACTCCCACATTGATACCAATTTTTCCACCAATCCCATGCAACCTTCCAAGTGCACAAGGAAAATCACGTACTATGAACTCCGTGTAAAGTGCTGGAGATGAGCCATGGTGATGAAGGGATGGCTGAGAAGGCATATGGGAGTTATCCTCTTGTCTGGGTCTATAGTAAGCATTTCCTTCAGCAGATCAAGGAACTGCCATATGTCTGCCATCTCCACTAGCGTGTCACTGCCCTCCAACTTTGATGGTAAAATTATCTGAAGAGAAAGAAACAGTCAATAAGAAGATTATTTGTTTTAGTGAGGTTAGTATTCATGAAAAAATATACAAAGCAATACTTTTTTTACTGTCATAGGGCCAACATTATTCAGTAACTTGAGTAAGGGATTTGGCTGCTTTTCAGTATTCCCTACCAACCTCACAACTTGGTTTGGTAGGCTCTGGACTAAATAGCCACAATGTTACTGACGACACTAGTAGGGGTTCTAGGCAGATCATCAGATTCTTGTAACAAGATGGGTATATGAAGATAAGGCAGGGGTGCAAAAATCAAGAAATAGGTTCCTGTTTTATACTTTCCTGTTTTATAATTTCATAATATATATATTTCTTAAAATGCAACATGTAAAAAAATACATATTAAAAATGGAAAATGTAACACATATGTTACAACAAAATTTTTAAAAAGTGTTTATGTAGAGGGGAAAATATTCCAGACTTGAATACAAGTAAGATTTTACTATATTTAGGGAGGCAAGAGGGGCCCAGTGGAGCTGGGTGGTGGTTGTAACACTATAGGGTCAGGAATACATGTTTGTGTTCCTGACCCTATATCCTTTAAGTATTTTTTTTCTGCTGAGCCACAGAGGTGAGAGAAAGATTCCATGTGATTTTGGATTAATATGAGTGCCCTAGGAATACAGTACCTTCGTCATATCATCAAGAGAGCTGAAGACATATCTCCTTCTTTCCATTGGTCTAATACCAGTCTCATATTCATAGTGTATTTTACTCTAGAGAAGAGGAAAAACAAGATTGTCCATTAGGTTCTGGAATGAGAACATCACTCAGTGTAGCATTCTACAATATCTCAGTAAGTTTCCTGCTAGTGTTAGAAAGGAACCGATAAACACGTCTTACCATTACCTGACCCAGCAGCTTTCCCTGAGTCTAAACAGTTTAGTTTTTTATTTACCATGTGGTTGTGAAAGTTTATTTATGAAATGGCTGCAAAGCTGACTGAGAAAGGGGGAACTAGGTAAAACACTTTAAGGAGGAACTATTATTGAAATGTTATCACGTCGGAACTTCCAAATTGATGAATGTTAGTGTGTAAAACTTAATCTGACTTAATAAAATAAATTAAATACAAATCCCGAAATGTTGCTTTAACCAGTTCATGGCAGGTCATTTACTGGGACTATCATGACATCATAGGATTTATTTAGCCGTACATCCTGAAGGAGTTACATATCATTTTATTTTATTTAAACATGGCTATGGTTGATATATAAGGTCGCACCTTTAAACTCCATAATAAATCCTCACGTTCGCCGTCGATTCTAAAGTAATTCTCGGTGTTTGCTCCCCAATCGAGCATCTTATCAGGCGGCAAACCCTGGGTCTCTGTGATGTAGCGGATCTGCAGGAAGGAAAAAAAAAGTCACAACTTTTCATGCCAGTACCGTCAGCTTCTATTAAAACTGTAAACGTAACCGAAATCAATCATTACCCACAATCACCTGCTTCGAATCTGTCTGATTTACTGCATTTCTACAACTTATCAACAACTAACATTGTCTGTGGTTCTAACTTGAGAAATTAAGTAACTTAATGGAAACTAGCATTGTGAAATAATATATAAATTACTTAACGTTACAAACAGTGATACTAAGCATAAAAACTAAACTGTTTGTCTCCACATTCTAATGCCGCACACATTTTTATTAAAATGCTTTGACTTCTTTTTGCCATAGGGATACTCATTCTCTATTTTGTTTAAAAACTAGTTAAAATACAAATAATCTCAAATTTAAAAGTTGGAGTGCAATTACTTCTTATATTTAAAATGTTTTGATTTAATAAATATATTATTTATATAGCTATATTATTCTAAAGAAAGTTACCTAAACTACCAAATAGACATTGGTGTGAGTATGCTAACGTGCATGCTTTAAAAATGTGTTTCATATATGAATATTTGATGTGAAATAATAGCCCTGTTTCTCCTGAATAAAATGATATTTAATAAGTTGAGGTGCCCTTCATATGAAAAAGGTAAATTATGGTTGAACAGACATAGAGTTAAATTCCAGGTTTTGTTTTGATCAGAATGTGTACAATTGCCTCCGTCCGTAAGGCATTAATTTACTAAACACCGGATTGCGGTGAGTTAATAACCGTATCCCAAACTTCAGGGTAAAAGGTATGACAGCAGTTCAGTTGAAGAGCTCTTCAAAATTTGCACTTTTGCTTAAATTTTTCAAATTTCTGTCTTTGATTCACAACAATTCTTTGTTTAGTGAATAGTTCTCATTAAGTTTAAAGGACCACTAAAGTCACCCAGACCATTTCAGCTCAATGAAGTTGTCTGGGTGCCAGGTCCCCCACGGTTTTAACCCTTCAGATTTAAACATAGCAGTTTCAAAGACAGCCACTAGAGGCGCTTCCCCGACGCTCAATGTGAAAATCGCTGAACGTCCATAGGAAAGCTTTCCTATAGCCCTTTTTTGTGCACACGCAGCTCGGTCCACGCATACGCATTTGGCTCCATTCAGGAGCCGACGTCGAAGGGGGAGGACAGGTCACCAGCGCCAGGATAAAGGTAAGTGGCTGCAGGGGTTTTAACCCCTTCAGACCAACGGGAGGGGGGCACCTAACGACTATATACTGCCAGGAAAACAAGTTTGTTTTCCTGACATTATAGTGATCCTTTAAACAAAATTGACCATTTTAACTTTGACTCCCGTCTATATAAGCAAATTAAATAGCTATGTGATACCTTTCTATGTGAATTGATTCTGGATTCCTAACTGAGATCTTAATATATAATTAGACATAGATATCTATTAGATTTGAACTCACCTGATCATACGCCGATGCTCCAGGATACAATGGGTATCCTGTGAATAGCTCTGCCGTAATACACCCCACAGACCACATGTCGATAGCCTCCCAGAATGGCAATGCCAATATTATTTCTGGGGACCTGAATTTTATTAAAAGGAGAGAAGTCAGAAGGTTAGATAAATAATTTACCTTTTAGTGCTTAAATCACTGAAATTAGATGTAAATCACTGAAATAGTTACTATTTCTGTTAATTTAATCTTGGCTCTGTTTCATCTGGCTGCCTGAGAGTTATCAGTGGAAGTGTTTTACCCCGACTCCTAAAACACTCAGCACAAGTACATATCAACTAAAAGAGCGCCCAGCGAAACCCAACTCCCAGTTCCCCTAGCTTATTGAGAGACCATGGACAGTCTGCAGCCATTTCCAATTACTAATGGTGATCACTTTTTATAAAATGAGAATAATAGAGGAATACTGCCTAAATCTTGCTTTGGAATGTAATTGATATTCTATCATATTCCGCAGATTTACCCAGCTTCTCAAAGGCCTTTATATCGCTCTGTGCTCGTATGAGAATTTCGGCAGAGATCCCATGAACCTATATTTTGTAATCTTTTCTATAAAGAATATAGAAACATACAATGTGAAGGCAGATAAGAACCATTCAGCCCATTTAGTCTGCCCAATTTTCTAAATACTTTCATTAGTCCCTGGCCTTATCTTATAGTTAGGATAGCCCTATGCCTATCCTACGCATGCTTAAACTCCTTTACTGTGTTAAAAAAGTAGCACTATACTAACGAGAGTGACATGTCTTTTGACAGCTTGATATGCAAAGCTTTGAAGGAGAAAAAAAGAGGGAATATTTTGTCCACTTCCCTTCTCCCTCTGAGAGCTTTGTAACAAGCAGCCATGCCACTTTGGCAAATTCTGATCAATCAATGTCCACCTTAAGAGCCCTTTGTGCATGTGTAGAGCTAGCTGACTGCTACACTCCATCAAACGCCATAAATATCCCTAATATCTCCTAATATTAATAAATAAACTTTATCAAAATAATAAACCAGATCTAGTTAACATTATTTTTTATACTCATTTCATAAATGTAAAGGATATCTATACTTTATTTGAAATGTGAATGTCCCTTACCTATAGTATCTTGTTTGTACGTAACTTGAAACTCGAACCTTGGATGTATGGATGGCACAACCAAAGTCTATGACCTTGATCTTGAATGGGTACTTGGAAGTGTTTACCAGCATGATATTCTCTGGCTTCAAGTCTGTGTGAATTATTTGTATACTCTTTAGCTTAGCCAATGCATTGCCCACCTGCTGCACAATAGGGCGTATGTGTTTCACAGGAAGAGGCCTATTGTTGCGTTTCTTCATAAAGTCGTATAGGCTGATCTCTAACATCTCAAACACAAGGCAGATGTTATCGTTGTGCTGGAAATACTCATAGTATTTCACAACGTTAAATTCGTCTGGGTTTTCCTTGTTCAGCTGGGAGAGAATTTCCACCTCATCTTCAGCATCTTTAACAACGCGTGGCTGGTCCTTCATGATTTTGATTGCCACTTTCTCGTTGGTTCCTCTTACAACACCCTGCACAACGTTCCCAAAGGTGCCACTTCCCAACAATTCCTGCACTATGTAAACGTTAGTGTTAGACCACAGGATGCAAGCTTGTTCCAATCTACTGACAGGAAAAAAAAGGAAATAGTTTAAATTTAACACATTGCTAAATTTCAGTCACAACATGAAACCATCTAAATCAGGATTCTTTGACCATTTAACGAGAAGGTTAATAATACAATGACATGTACTTAGCGCATAGTGTCTACATTTGTACATCTGATATTTGTGAAGTTTAATTGTTTTGTCTGTTAACTTCAATAAACTCTTAGTCCCTTAAGTTGTCTGTCGGAAAATTCCTGATATTTACATTTTTATAGTGGACCGGTCACCTTCTTACCATTCAGCGTCATTGAAAATGTTTAATAAATTCTCCAGTTGTTTTAGAAAATATGGGATCAAAGACAGAGACTATTTAGCCTCAGCTGTGTTGAAATCAGTCGCCTAAATAATGAACTACAATCCATTTCTAGCTTTACGTTATAACGTCCACCAGACTGATATAACTAATTGGAGAGGAGTCTTTCAGTTAATAAAATTAGTTTTAACATAATAAACAAAGCTCGAATTGTGTCCTACGATGTGGTCATTGAAAAGAATTATCACCCAGTAATCTATAGAATTGGATGCACACCTGCAGAGTCATTTACTTGTTTCTATAAATTAACTGTGTCTAGTTAAAAGGGGATTTAAGTTCGAACAATATCATTACATTAATAATATATCAAATTAAATATTTTTATATAAACCTACAGCAAATCATTTTGTTACATAATTCAGCATTTTCCTCCATTTCATATGGAGGACATTTATTTTCAAATCTGGTTAATACTGTAATAAGGTTTAATTACTGAATATTCAGTACTGGGTATACCAGATAATGGACCCAGATACATGATATTTTGTATCATAATCATACTTTGTATCAGATTGTTTGGTCTGTAGCTGTAGGTAGAGTGCAATGTACAAGCATGGTCAGCTAGCTGCATGCATCCAGAGGTTCTGATGACCAATGATACTTTCATAATTAAATATATTTTATATAACATAGTGCATGGAGACACATTGTTGGAAATAGTCGTGTATTTTGGAATAAATGGCTAATTACTATTATAATCAATTTTCCAACTCTAAATCCCCGCCCTCCCCCACTCCCCCTACACTTTGTTAATTATTTTAATCATTTTTCTCAAATAGGCAAACATTCTAGACTTTACGGAATAGACCTTGTATACTGTATTTTTTTTAACATTGTATAATTGTTAAACTAATTCTTATCTGCATTGAATTTTTTTTATTCCTAATCTTAAAAATAATTTTAATTAGCGAGACTAGCATTAACATCATTATTATAGTTCTGGTAGTATCCAGCATGGTTGAGGTTATAATGTCTAGGGTCACAAGTTAAATATCAAACATTGAAATGATAAACAAAATATCACCCAAAAATCCTAACCTGTTAAATTGTATTTATATATATATATATATATGGATGGCCATAGAAGTAGTTATCTAGGGATTAACCTTCTAACTTAATGATTATGTCATTACTAATATATATAACAAATTATTTTAAATAAACCTACGGCAAGTCATCCTCGTGCTCCTCAGATTCAGCTATTTCTAGGTTTGTCTCCATTTTATAAACTGGATATCTTCCAAATTGATCCAATCTGGTTATGACTGGAGTAACTGTTAATCGCTGTCTACTCGACTCTGGACTAACAGATAATGAACCCCCAGATACATCATCATTTTACATCACATCTCCACTTGGTCTGATTGTTACCACTGTTGCTAGGCAACGGCAGCTGTGAGCTGGAGTACAATGGCCATGCATGGTCAGGTGACTGAAAGCATCCAGATGTTCTGATGAGCCAGTAGTACCTGGATATAGTCGTATTTTATATAATAAAGTGCACAGAGATATGTTTGTATGTACACTAAAACATTATTTGCAGCTTTTCTGTATTGGACTGCAGTAATAACCCATGCTTTTTATTTTACAAAAGTGTGTAATGGCAAATACAGAGAAAAAAAAAGAAAAACAATAAATAAAGTAGCAAATAACTGAATTCAAACCTATATTCTGATTGGCTGCTATTTTGAAAGTTAAAAAGGGCCCATTAGTGTGCAGGTTAACCAATAACTAAGGAATCTATGACAGTGGTTCCCAAACTTTTTAGGTTAAAGACGCCCTTAATATTTCAATATTTTTCTGTCAAAATTTCTAGGTTCTATACCTGTACAGCGCTGCGGCATATACTGGCGCTATTATTGAATATAATATAGTGTTGGTTTTTGAAGGGGTGCTTGTACATAGTTTTAGTGTTTAATACAGTGGTGTGTTTGTATGTAATGTTTGCATTTGATTGTAGGGGTGTGTTTGAATGTAATGTTCATCTTTAAATGCGAATGTACATTTATGCTTGAGTGAAGGGGTGTGTTTGTAAATCATTTTTGAGTTTGAATGCAGGGGTGTGTTTGTATGTAATATTTGTGTTAGATTGTAGGAGTGTGTTTGTATGTTGTGCTTGTGTTTGACTGCTTGAGTGTTTGCATATACACTACCACATACATAGATTCTTACACAGATATGCATGCATATTAACACACAGATACATATAAATACACTGACACATACACACAAATTCATATAGACTCCGACAGATCCACACACGCCCAGGGCATAAAAATATGCATTTAAGCCCATGTGTGAATGCAGGTTTATATTTTTGCAGAGTTATGTACACAGTCCCACAGTCAGATGCACACAGTTATATGTATACACTGTCAAATCCACCACATACACACAGTCACAGGCAAATAGTCACATACACAGGATGAGGCAGAAACACACAGGTACAGACAGTAACACACATACACAGTTACAGGCAGATAAACACACTCACACACAATTACAGGCAGACAGATACACACACACACAGCCACACATACAGTCTTACACACACATACTTACATGCAGATAGTCACACACATACACACACGCAGACAGCTACACACACACACACACAGGCAGACAGCCACACACACAGACAGCCACACACACAGACAGCCACACACAAACGCACAGGCAGACACACACACACACAGGCAGACAGCCACACACACACAGAGGCAGACAGCCATACACACACACACACAGGAAGACATCCACAATCACAGAGGCAGGCAGTCACACACACAGAGGCAGAGAGCCACACAGAGGCAGAGAGCCACACACACAGGTAGACAGCCACACAAACACACAAAAGCAGACAGTCACACACAGGCAGTCACACAAACACACAGGCAGACAGTCACAGACAGGCAGACAGTCACACACAGGCAGACAGTCACACACACACAGGCTGACACACACACAGGTAAACAGTCACACACACAGACACACACAGGCAGACAGCCATACACACAGACACACACACATACAGGCAGACAGTCAAACACACAGAGAGACAGCCACACACACACACACACACAGGCAGACAAACACACAGTTACCTCTGTTCATTATGGAGGAGTGGAGGCAGTGCAGCTCCTGGAGACTGGTTGTTGGGGATGCAGGGACTCCTTCATACTTCCCCTGCAGCAGTTACCTGGCACTTTTAGCTCCACCTCCGCCGCACGGGAAGCTCCGCCCCGCCGCAATATTTTTGTTTGTCTTGTTTTTTTTAGAATCCTGGCCTGCAATGTGTGAGCTGTGTGGGCTGCATGGCACCCCGTTCTCCCTTGGCGCCCTGTGCGGCCGCACAGCTCGCACACCCCTAAGGCCGGCCCTGCTCGTGTGTATCTGTATGTAGTCAGTCGTGCCAACGTCAGAATGGCATGACTCTAAACGCCAATTAGGTTGCTGTAAATGAACACAGGAAAGTCACGAATTCGGCATTCGAAAGAATTTGGGTATTTAGGCGATCTAAAATGACATCAACCAATAGTGTAAGTGTTTTGGCTATTTAAAGTCAGAGCTTGATGGAGCAGGTTGCCCTGTTGTGGTCCTTGTTATATAAATTGTTAAATATCCTTTGCCAGGTGCCGTATTCTCAAGGCAACAAATATTCATCCCTTTTCTCTATTGTTTGTGGTTATTTGACAATATTTAGAAGGGTTGTAAACCCTGTCTCAGTCATACTACTAGCAGTGCTACCACCATCCCTTCTCTTTTTGTTTCTCTGATTTTGGATATTCACTGTGTGAGAGCAGAAAATAAACTCCTGATGTAATTACCAGGAGAAAGAATCTATAAACTAGAACTTTGGAACTTTTCGATAAAACGTAAATCTCCAAATGCAAGAACGTTCTCCTATGAAATAAAAAGAGGCAAAAGACTTATGTTGTCACTTTATTGTGGGCCGAAGAGAGAGAGTCGGTGTAAATACAGCTTACTGCAGTAAATAAGTCAATTACAAAGCAGTATTTTTCTAATAGTGTGCCGAAGTCTTTATCATAAATCATTAATCTTAACCAAAATGTGATAACAATCTCCTCAATATCACAAACACTTTTTATGTGTAACAAAAGGGACTGTTAACAAATAACGAATTACTCAATTCATTTATTTATTTTTAAATGTATACATTTTTATTGAGATTTTCTTTTTCAGTTTGGATGGTATTCCATGACAATAGCAATCAATATTACAAACATAAAAGAAAACATTAAGTATAACATAAAAGGTCAAAAGTACAATTATACATCACATCAAACATAATATAGGTCTGAGAGGTCATTGACGTCATGTAAGTAATGTATGTGTGATTCGGGAAGACTGTGTCATGTAGAGAGAAGATATGTAGGTATCAATGGGATGTAGGAAATGAGAAGTGAAAAGGCTAAGTGAGAAAGAAATAAAGAAAAATTAGGAAATGAGGGGAAAATACTCCTCTACCAAGAGAGGAGGCTAGTTCCATCAAAACCAGTACCCCTTTAAGAGCAGTACAAATGTAAAACTGCAGAAAAACTATATCATAGAAAAATAATAAAGTTTTATTAAAGATTAAAAACGTACAGAAAACTTATCAAAACCTATCTATATACCTACACTGAACTGCTTAGCTTTAAACTGTATGGAGCTAATTGTAGAAAAAATGGAGCTAATGTGCTCATACAAGGTGCAACATAGTTACAATAAATGTAATGAAGTATCCAATACTAGTGAAGAGTGGTATATTGAAAAAAATGTTGCAATAAGGATGGCAAAGCAACAATAGATCCCAAATTATATATGTAGCAGTCACAGCATAGCATCAGCTATTATATTTTATTGGGCCCCCATTAGTCAAGTGAAATTAAATTATATTATATGTAAATGGGGGAACAATATTCCCTCTATATCTACTAGTGGTAATAATCAAAATCCTACAGAATCCAATCGAGCTGACTGAATAACTAAAATCTAATTGTAGAATAATTAATCAGAGCTCAAAAGGATAGGTAAATCGAAAGGACAGGAAGATAAAGATAATTGAAATAAAGTAGAAAGTAGTTTAGAGAGAATATATGTGCACAGGGCTACTAATAAAAGAGAGGACTCGGCCGGCAAAAGAGTCCCTCAATAGAAAGCAACATGCAGAAGATCTAGCTGGTACTAAGACAGTACCCATTCACCAGAAAGGTAGTAGGAAGGAGTCGGGCAACTATAGGCCAGTAAGCCTTACTTCAGTAGTTGGGAAAGTGATGGAAACCATGTTAAAGGATAGGATTGTTGAACATCTAAATCACATAGATTTCAAGATCAGAGACAACATGGGTTAACTTCAGGGAGTTAATGCCAAACTAATTTAACTGATTTTTTTGATTGGGTAACTAAAATAATAGATCAGGGTGGTGCAGTAGACATTGCTTACCTAGATTTCAGTAAGGCTTTTGACGCTGTTCCACATAGAAGGCTTATCAATAAACTGCAATCTTTAAGTTTGGATTCCAATATTGTTGTATGGGTTAGGCAGTGGCTAAATGACAGGCAACAGAGGGTTGTAGTCAACGGAGTATATTCAAAGCAAGGTCTAGTTACCAGTGGGGTACCTCAGGGATCTGTACTTGGAACCATTCTCTTTAATATTTTTATTTGTGATATTGCAGAAAGTCTTGATGGTAAGGTATGTCTTTTTGCTGTTGATACTAAAATTTGCAACAGGGTTCATGTTCCAGAAAGGATAAGGCAAATGGCAAATGAGTTAGAAAAATTAGAAAAATGGTCAGAGCTGTAGCAACTGACATTTAATGTGGATAAGTGCAAGATAATGCACCTTGGACGTAAAAACCCAAGGGCAGAGTATAGGATATTAAATACCCTACTAACCTCAACATCTGAGGAAAGGGATTTAGGAGTAATTATTTCAGATAACTTAAAAGTAGGAAGACAATGTAATAGAGCAGCTGGAAATGCTAGCAGAATGCTTGGTTGTATAGGGAGAGGTATTAGCAGTAGAAAGAGAGAAGTGCTCATGCCATTGTACAGAACACTGGTGAGACCTCACTTGGAGTATTGTACACAGTACTGGAGACTGTATCTTCAGAAGGATATTGATACTTTAGAGAGAGTTCAGAGAAGGGCTACTTAACGGGTTCATGGATTGCAGGATAAAACTTACAAGGAAAGGTAAAAGGAACTTAACATGT